TGCCCATGAGTGGTATATGGGGGCTCTGAGCCGGCAGGAAGCAGCCGCCTGTCTCCAGGGACACCGCCATGGAACCTTCCTGGTACGGGACAGCACCACTTGCCCCGGCGACTACGTGCTGTCCGTCAGCGAGAACTCCAAGGTGATTTCTGAAAAAGGGAATTTGGGGGTGGAAGGGCCCTGTAGGAAGAGCTGAAAGAGTGTGGGTTTGATTGCACATTGGAAGCGGAGGGTGGAAGCTGGGTGTGTACCTGTGGAGGGTCACAGTGCGACAGCCTCCTGCTTCTCTACCCTTCTCTTTCCTCCAGGTGTCTCACTACATCATAAACAGCCTCCCTGGGCGCCTGCGGATCGGGGAGCACGAGTTTGATGGCTTCCCTGCTCTGCTAGATTTCTACCGCCTCCACTACTTAGACACAACCACTTTGGTAGCCCCCGTGGGACGGGTTGTGGCGCCGGCCTCTGCCCAGCCGCCTCCCGCTGGGGAATGGGTCCGGGCTCTCTATGACTTCGTCGGCCGCGATCAGGAAGACCTCCCCTTCTCCAAGGGGGAACCCCTGAGGGTGCTGGCCAAGCCAGAAGAGCAGTGGTGGACAGCGCAGAGGGCCGATGGGCGTGTGGGCATGATCCCCGTGCCGTACGTCCAGCCCTGTCCGTACGCCCACCCGAGCAGCCACGGTGCCCCTCGCCACGCTCCGGTCATAGCGAGGGCGGTGCAGCGAAGGGTGCCCGGTGCCAGCGACAAGACGGCACTGGCCTTTGAGGCAAGTAATGGGGTGGTCTGCACTGGGGGCGAGTTCACAAAAGGGAACGAGTTTCTGGTTACCAGGTGGGTTGGGGAAATACGCTGATTACTGTTGGGCACTGAGGTTTTTCGTTGCACAGAAATGTGGCGTTCTGGTCCAGCCCTCTTCACACCCCCAAACGAAAAGCTTGTGTTTGGACTAGGTTTTGCACATTAATTCAGATGAAATAGTTATGCAGCATAACACTTGTCTGGAGGGTCGATGAGCATAACTTTGAATAGCTATGGAGCAGGATGAGTGGTGGAGTGGAAGGAGGAAAGAACGCATCAGTTCGGATGGGAAGGGGTGTGGAGGCTGTGTTGGAGTGCAGACGTTCATCCACACATTAGATGCCTGCCATGGTCACATTGCCAGGCTACACGCCTGAAAACTAGGATCTTCAATCCATGTTATGTTTCTGTACAAAACTTCATACAACACACCCTGGCTTTGATCCTGTTCCTCATTTGAAATGGCAGTGAAGGGAAGATGAGAAGCTGTGTGATTTATTCAGGAGAAAGACTTGTTTGCGGGGGAGGGGGGGCTGGCTGTGCAGAGGTGGGTGGGTAAAAAAAAATGCCCCCATGATATTTGCATTCTGATCCCTTCTGTGTCTCATGATGCTCTACAGGTGGGTGACCTCATTGCTGTCACCAAGATGAATGTCAACGGCCAATGGGAGGGGGAGCTGAACGGGCGCCGTGGCCATTTCCCCTTCACCCACGTCAAGGTCCTGGACCCCGAAGAAGCCAGCTGAACATTTGATGATGTAACCCATGGAACGCTGACTTTCCCTGCAGTGGGGCACGACCCTTGAACTCTGACCCACACTTGTGAGCTTCTGACCGTCTCAAACATTGTACTTCCTTGAATTCTGACCTACCCGGTGGATGTTATTGATCATCCGGTTCATTGATGCTCAAGCTCCTTGGATGTGGACCTCTTCTACCACTTTGGACTCCTTAACCCATGAACCCTGTTCCTTGACTCGCTGTTCTTAAAATGCTGTGGTAGTTGAACCCTATAAACTTTTGACTCTTTACAGGGACCCGTTCATATTTCCTCCCTAGAAACATTGATCCATTTTGGCCTTGTGATTTTTTCAACTCTGATTATGTGCCCTTGAATCTTGCAACTCCCCATCCTGTGCCCTGTGAACCCAGAAACTCTTGAGCTTTGATTATTGATCCCCTTATTCTTGTGATTTTTTCCCCATTTGATCCTGTCCACTTTGGGTGGGGAAACAGGGCGGAGGGGGGGAGTGCTTGGCTTTGGCCAGATGGCTGACAGGAAATCCTCCCCACTCCTTATAGAGGCCCCACTTCACTTGTTGTCTGTTCCAAACTGCCTTGTTAATTAAAGTTTCCTGCTGATTATCCCTCGCTGGAAATTTACTCCTTCTGGGGTGGGGCTAGAGGGTTAATATGGGAAAAGAGTAGCACAGTTGTTATGGTAACGAGCATCACAACCCAGGCCTCAAATGTTGCCATGGTGAAGTGGAGCACAGCCTATTGCTGTAGGCAGGAGGAGGCAGCAGCAGCAGGCCACAAATGCTGCGTAGAGCATCTTGGTTGCGTGAGGATCACTATTAAGTCTCTCTCCATGCCTGCCAATGGTTCCTGATTAATAGGTACAGTATTTCCCCCGCACCCCAAGTTTATATACCTATTTACTGGAGCCGGTTGCCCTGCTTGTACCTCTTCTTGATACAGTCCCAGCTGCTCCCTTCTTTTAACAACATCATTGGCATATTCAGAATTTCAAAATTCAGTATGTTATAGAATTTAGAGCAGGCTTCCCCAACCTGGTGTCCTCCATGTGGGTGAACATATCAGACGACACAGCGATTCTTCAAACAGCTCTTGTTTATTCACAGGCCAGAACAGAACTGAACTGAAGGGTTCAGTCAGCCTGCTTATATAGAGCTCCAGTACAACGTAACTGTAGCAATTTTCTAAAACTATCCAATCACTGAATGTCACTTTTGATCCCTTATTTGCATAACTATCTACAGTATCCCCTGCTGGCCCAGGGTGAGAACTTCAGTACATAACACTCCAGACCCCTTAAAACACCAAATAGTATCTGATCTCGGAAGCTAAGCAGTGTCTGTCCTAGGGAGTACTTGGAGAGAGCCAGTGTGGTGAAGTGGGTACAGTGTCAGACTAGGACTTAGGAGGCCAGGGTTCAAATGCCCATTTGGCTCAGGAAGCTCACTGGGTGAGCTTGGCCCAGTCACTGCCTTTCTGCCTAACCTACCTCACAAGGGGAGAGCCACATACACCCCCTTCAGCTCCTTGGATAAAAAAGTGGCTTGTAAATGCAATAAAGAAGAACTCCCGTCAGTCCCAGGCAGCTTGATGGAGCTGTAGTCCAAACCATCTAGGTGGCACCAACGCAGGGAAAGACTAATTTAGAGGCACGATTTGTGTGGCACACCATACTACACAAATTACATCTGTACATACACAACCCCTTGATATAAGGTGAAAAGTCATCTTGCTGATTTGTAGTCGTGCTTTTGTCATTACTTTCCCCTAAATCCCTCTGTGATCCACGGACATCTTAACCCATGTTTATCTCTAGATGGAAATTATTCTTTCTAGGTGGCAGGGAAATGTTAGAATCATAGTACCATCATCACTGTTGGTCCTTTAGTTCAAGAGCAGGATCTTGCTCAGGACGCGATCTGCAAATGCAGGATACCACCTCAGCATCCTTGACATTTGGATGTCCAGCCTCAGCTTCCAAAACTCCCCAGTCCATTCCACTATCAAACAGCTCCTACCATTAAGGAAACTTCCCCTGATGTTTTAGCTGCAATCTGCTAATTGTACCCATTGGTTTGAGCCCTGCCCTAGGCAACTATTGTGTCTCCCTGTAAAACGGTCTGGCCTGGGTATTCTCTCTGCTAAACAGGTCAGGGCAATGTCAAGTCTTCCTTGCAGGACTTGGCTGAAGTTCCAAAAGTCCTGTAGCTGCCAAATTCACCCGCCCATGAGGAAGCATCTAGTTGTGTTGACACTTGCTCTGCACCTCACCCTGAGGCACTGCTTATATAATGTAAAATGAGACAGCCTTCCCCCGCCCCCTTCATCATCTGGTGAATTTGGGAAGATGTAACTTCTGTCCACTTCATAGCAGCGAGACATCTGCTAGAAAAACAGAGGGGCTCTTGGTCTGCCAGCCAGCTGCTTTACAGCTGGTGTAGCCACTGCCTCCTCTTCCAGTAATAATTTGAGGTGGGGTTTGTGTGAGAATTCCCAGTTCTAATTGGTTGTGTAGCTCTGACTGTAGACTTGAAGAGCCTGACATGTCCCTTAAATAATCTTAAGGCCTGTTTCCTCCCCAGGCCCTAAATATCAGGAATCCACTTCCTTTAGCTGAGTTGGTCCACCACACTCATTGCTTTTAAAAAGATTTCACAATCCTAGAATCATACTGTGGAATAGCACCCTACACAACTCAGTGCAGGGTGTGTTAATGCAGGATGCACCCCCAACTGATGGCTGCAAGCCCCACTCTTAAAATATTTCCAGCAAACAAGAGTCTGCCATCTCCTGAGGTCCTGCTCTGAAATGGATCGTGCCATCTTTCTGTAACCTAAACAGCGAGTTGCATATACCTCTCGTTTTTTTAAAACAAAAGAAAAACAAACCCCTTTTGGTATCGAGTTGTTGTTCCTGCAGGGGGGCAGCAGATGGCGCTGGGAGACTTAAGGTCCTGGGGTAGGGGCAGAAATGGGAAACCCAACAGAAGCTTTAAAATGCAAGCCAGTAGCAGGAGAAAGTTGGGGAGGGGAGGGAATCACCCAAGATGGAGAGTGGAAGTTGCCTCCTTTAGCCTTCTCCTCGGGAAAGGGAGGAGGGGGCTGGATACAGCTCACGGGTTGAGGCAGATGGCCAAAATATATTCTGAATCCTAGGGGTTGCTTGCAGTCTGCACCACCGCCAGTGCAGGGCTGCAGGGAAGTGGGTCAAAACCGGGCTTTCCGGCAGCAAGAAGGACAGCATGCATGTGTGGGGATGGTTGCTTGGTTGGGACTGAGCCACACTGGGGGAGGGGGCACCGCACAGGTCTCTCAGCCCCGGGCCCCGTGACACCCTTGCTGTTCCTTGCTCTGCAGGGAATGTCAGAGGCCTCGTGTTTCACATTCCCAGACCCCAAGGCCTATATTTAGGCTGCCCTGCAAAAGGCCAGGGGTCGGGGAGAAGGTTAGCGCGGCCCCTCCCTCCCGCTCCGGCTCCCTTCTTATACAGCCCGGCCCCTGCTTTTGCCTCCGCCAGTCACCCAGCACCCAACGGAGCCGTCGCGTCTCGCCAGAACCCCCGCTACACCCACGGTATCTGGGAGATGGGAGGGAAAGGAGGGGGCTGTGGAGGGGTGGGCGGGAGAAGGGGCTGTCGAGAAGAGGCAAATCTGGATGGTCGCGCTGCTAGGAAAGGGCCCCAGGTGCTGCCTGCATGAGGTTGTGGGAAGATTTCAAGGGAGAAAGGATGTGGGGATCAGTAGGGGTGCAGTGAGCGGCCTTAGCAGGAAACAACATCTATAGCTCAGTTAGTTGCAGTGTGGTGCTGATAACGCCAAGGTTGCATGTTTGATCCCTAAATGGGACAAGTGCATATTTCTGCACTGCAGAGGGTTGGACTAGATGATCCTCAGGGTCCCTTCCAAATCTGCAATTCTATTATTCCATCTCTGTGAATGACAAGGCATGCTATTGGTGGATGTTGTCTCAAGGGCGTATCCTTTTGTTTAAAACAGACAAAACCTTCTGCCTGTTCTGAGTTTACGAACAGTAGATTTTTCCTTTTCTCCTTTAAAAGAAAAGAAAAAAAAGCAACAGCGAGCCTGTCTGTGTCTGATCTTCCCTCCTTTTAAATCCTGTCTCTGTTCTCTTCCCATCGCCCCCTTTATCATTTATTTATTGCATAACTGATGGGGCATCCCTAAACCTTGAATCTTGTTTTCATACATCCAGTTACTCCATGTAAGACCAAAGGGACTCCAGCTATATTATCTAACACGGCTGTTTCCTTTGAATGCTGCAATGACTTGCAAAAGTCTTGCACAGTTGCTGATTGTTTGAGGAAGTAACGCTCACATAATCCCATGGTATCTGGGACACAGGAACAGAAAGTATGTGTGTGTGTCTGTCTCAATCCTTCTGTCCCTGGTGCTTGCCCAATCCACCGCTCCAGGGTTTGGGTGTGTGTGTGTTGTACCTTCCAGTATTTGTCTTGTAAGCAAGCCTGTGGCCTCACTTTGCCTGCACCTCCATTGCTCCTTGGCTTATTCTTTGCTCCTCCTTAACCAGCTTCCATCTCTGTCTTATCTAAGGCAGCTTTCTTTTCTTTTCTTCCAAATGACGCTTTCAATCAGGTCCTGCAATCCCTGCATCTGTAACTCAGATGTAAAGCCTACATTGAATGGAATGTGTACTTTGATTTAAAAGTCCCGCCTGCTGCTTTCTATCCTGCATGAAAAGGATACCCTTGTCCACACTGTGGTTACAGTATTCTGAACATTACTTGTGAAAACCCTCTTCCACATAAGGTGGTCTGGACAGGGTGCGTATGGTAGATCACTGTGGGTGCCAAATGGGTTGTTACTGTTTGTCAACTAGCAATCCAGCAACAGTAAAAAAATGGGGGTTGCAGGCCTTTCGTGGAAGGATCTGCTTTGCTTTTGCTTATTTGTTGTGAAGGGCCTGGGGGCATGCCGTCAAGCTCCTTCCATTGTTGCTCTCCTCCCTTCTACAGCCACCTCTTTGGGGAGCAAGGGCTTCCAGAGGTGGGTAGCTGGGTTAATCAATGTGTTGCAGAAAAAAACAACAATTAATAGTCTTATGGCACCTCGAAGACTTAACAAATTTATTGTAGCATAAGCTTTTGTGGACAAGAGTCCACACCATCCTTCAGAGGAAATGGATTTAAGTCCACGAAAGCTGCCACAATAAATCTGCAGCGAGGCTCTTTGATATTTGAGATGGGGAAGGCAGAGCTATAATGCCCTTAACAGTTGCCGGCGGAGCAGAAATTTTAGTAGGCGAAACTTTCTTTAGCATGAGGACTAAGAGGGGGAAAGCTTCACTCCCTACACTTCTGCACTGGAAGTGCGGTGGCAGTATTGATTATTATTCAAAAGGCTTCTGTATTGAGTCGTCTCTCAAAGCGGCTTACCATCCATACCGTTCATTAAAACAGCCAACAACGAACATCTATTGCCATTCAGCAATCGTTTCAAAGAGACAGGGAGCCTTCGCCACCTTCTTCCTGGAGCCTAGACTCCTCCTCCTATACCCCCCTTGTTAGCATTTCGGGGCTTGGTCATTTTGGCGTTGTGGATGAGCAGCTGTTCGACTGCATTGTCGTTTAAAGGCTGGCTGATCTAAGACTCTGCAGAAACTTTATAGGGGGCGAGTGGCTATGATAGTTGTGGTGAGAAGGGGTTGGTCTTACTGGCCCTGCAGAGGTGGAGCAAACAGTATTAACTGCTGCGGGTAGGCCTCCCTCCCCCTCTGCCACCTCCTCTCTCTGTTGTGCCCAGTTTAAGGCAGTGCATGAGGTGGAGAAATCCGGGAAACGCTTCACCTGTTGAATGGGTGCCTGACCTGCTATTTAATTAAAAAGGCCGGGCAGCTTCCGGTGTAAATCACTTTGTTGATTAACTGCTCGGTATGACTGTGCGTTTTGGAAATGTAAAAAAAGAGTAATGGAGATATATTCTTTAAAAAGAGACAGGGACGTTCTCCTCAGGGAGGGGGAAGAGGTCAGGAGGCAACCTTACTGGAAAAGTGTGGGGATCGGGTGGGGATCGAGAAATCGGCGCAGGAGGAAGAGGGATCTGAACGGATGGTGACCTTTCTGCCGTTCAAGCCGCGCGTACGTTCAGTCCTGGCAGGGAAGCTCCCCATCAGCCAACCCTGTTTATAGTCGCCAGTCAGGTCCGAATGGGGGGAGGGGGAGGGGTGCCTCTCTCGTACCCCCTGCCGCCTGCTACGTGCTTTCCTGCACAGAGACCAGTGACTCAGCTATTACCGTAATCACCCCAAGAGAAGCCCTGTTTGGATTCTGACCAGGGCTAAGAAGAAGGTTCTGGACTTCGGATTGGGGAGCCAAGGCAAAGGGTGGGGGTGGGGTGGGGAGTTTGCAGCATTCCCATGTTACACTGACCCCACAGGTGCCTGGCCTTTTCGCTCCTCTCATCAATCAAACAGCAGCTGCCTCTCACTTCCCAGCCGCTGGGGTGTTATATAACTATACTCCCCTAGCACTTCCTTGCTCAGTGCAAAAAAACCGACAGCAGCCCAGTTTTCCACCCCAGCCCACATCTTGGATGTGCATAAAAGCCCAGCTTTTTTCCCTCTGGGTTATTGAATCTCTCCTGGTTCATTACAAGTGCAATAATTGCACGGGGAAATCTGCCCTACAACTGAAACAAACAAGCTGAAATGCACTGTTCTCCTTAAAACATGGATCAGTGGCACTTTGAATTGCAACTAGCATATTTTATTAAATTTATTCCTCCTCTTTTTACAAGAAAAAAGGTCTCAAAGCAACGGACAGCACGTTTAAAATGCAAAGATGACATAAAATAGCCCAAAGCTACACGGCACTAAAAGTTTACATCCACCAGCAATCAGTAACAGAAAAACAACACCTGCCCATCCCAAAATGTGGACACCATGAACAGGCCAAAAATCAAGCCACAGCAAGACCCAAATGCTTGGGAAAACTGGAATGTACCTGCCTGGTGCCTAAAATCTTACAAGACAGATGCCAAAGGAACCTCCTTATCTGGCTCTCTAAATTGCAATGATGTTGGCGCCAGAGAATGTCAGATGGGACGAATGTTTGGCTCCTAACACCAGAAAGGTTGAGGCTCATCCCAGTGTAGTCTTGAGCAAAAGGCATTCTGCGCTTCCTCTGATGCACCCCTATTTATGAGTTTACAGGACTAAGAAGAGTGAAACCAGGTTCTGGGAAGGTGCCCTGAATTGGGTTAAGCTCTGGGCAGAATTCAAAGTGGTTCAGATAATTTTGGGTTTATATGTTTTGCTTTCTAAAAAAAACTATTGGACAGCTGGACTGTTTCGGTGGCCAGGTTTTGAGTCAGTATTACAATTCTTCCTCCCTGCCTCCAATCTCAGTTAGCCACCTATGACATCTTTACCCCAATGCACAGCTTGTAGGCCAAGAAAGCACTGACAGGATCACAACTCCAGAACCCAGATGCTTGGTCTTGTCAAAGAAATCTCTGTTGCCCCTATACTGATAAAGCCACCAGTTTTGACCCTGGAGCTTTTATGGGGACTTCAGAATCTTCGCCATCAGCTGTTGTTGCTTCTGATCTTTTAGTACTGTAATCCTTTATCCTGGATTTAAAGGCAACGTTTTGCAGTGGCCTGTGGCTACGGGCAGCAAATATTTGTCCTTTCAAACGGGTCCTACTCCTTTGCAAATGTGCTTAGGCTTGCAGCCTTTCCCCGTTATAGAAGCTGCCCTTTCGCTTGTGAAAATTCCTTTCTGCGATGCCACCGGTTCCATCTTATCGCTCCCACTCCGATTCTCTCTCTTGCACAATCAGTCCCATGCCCAGGCCTCTCTCTCTTTTCCGCAGCTCAAGCCCAGCACTCATGGGGGTGAGGGGATCCAGAAATAGCAGCGTGTCCTTCAGAAAAGGACAGAGGAGCTGGAGGAGCGGGGATCAGGTGTCCCCTTGAAAGGTCATCGCTGAAACTAGAGTCTGGGAGAGGATGCAAAGGGGGGAAAGACCTATGGAGCCCGATTTGGCTTCCCTTCCCATCTCCCAGGAAGATGGGGCAACGCCCTCGGTCCTCAATAACATTTTATCCCTTCGTGCTCTTTAAACGAGCAGGTTAAAAAGTGCATGTGCCCTTTTAGGGTATGCAGTGAATGCGCCTAGCGTATGGAGGTTTCTAATCTAATCGCAAATATGAAAACGTGATTTTGCTCCTAAGCACACGCTGGGGCTCTGCAGCACGGTCGGCCACGGGAATGAAATCTCTTATTTCCACGCGTAGGACTCAGTCGAGTGGAGCAGAGTTCGTCCACGCTTATCTCCGTTTCCTTATATTTAAATAAATACCTTCGCCGCTATTAGGGGGTGGGAGAGCTTGGGCCCTTTAAGTCTCCTCCCTCCCCCCTCCTCAATGAGTCAATTTCACACCCTTTTCCGCCTTGCCCTGTTACATGACGTTCGATCCTGGAACGCGGAGCTTCTTTTGAGCATTCGATTCGAACGCTTCACTTTGCTCGCGCCCATCCCGGCTCCTGTTTGCTGCTGCTAAGGAAGAAGGCAGGTTTGACCCCCCCCATTTTCTTACGCACGCATTCCTCCAAGGAGAACCCTTCCTCTTTACAGATTAGGATTTCGAGGGGGGGGGGAGTAAAGAAAAAAATAAGGAATGGTCGCAGGAGCACTTGCGGATATTCTCTCCCTGCCGCCGCCGCCGCGGTTTATATAATATGGGGATCGGACTTGGAGATAGATAAGATGGAGACGGTAAAACGTGGGGTGGAGTGGGGGAAGGGAGGAGGAAGTCCCGGTGGGGGAAGAAACGCAGCATTTGAAATCACGTGGTGAAGCTTAATGTACAACTGTTGCAGAGGGGAAAAGAAAACAGGACCCCCCCCAAAGAAAAACTAAAGTAAGCGTAAATATTCCTCACACTTTCCAGTCCCGTCCCCCCCGCAATTGGACTCGCATTGCAAAGGTGCTGCAGCTGATGAGGTAGCTAATATCAGGGGGGAAGCTCAGAGCATGGTGAGGATTCGGAAAAACGGGGGGGGTGAGAACTGGGGTTCTCTTGAGGAACAGGGTAAACGGCTATTTCCTCTGTCCTTGAAATGTCCTTGGTATCTGCTAGCCATCACCTGCTGGAGCCTTTGCTGCTTCTTTCAAATATGGCTTTAATCTGGGCATCCCCTTTGACCTTTGTGGGAATCCTCCGATTACCGTAGCAACAGGGAGGAGCAGAATTCTCTCCCGCCCTCCTGGCCAGTCTCTGTACAGACACGAAGGTCCTTGTTGTGGGTGTCTCCTTCAGATACAGGACTGAGCAGGCAGAAAAGAGGAGACCGCGTTGCCAGGCTTGTATTAACGCTTCTTTGCCTTCTCCAGTTTAGCCATTCAAGATGCCTCACCAATACCCAGCCTTGACACCTGAGCAGAAGAAGGAGCTGTCGGACATTGCCCACCGCATTGTGGCCAAGGGCAAAGGCATCCTTGCCGCTGATGAATCCACCGGTAAGGGACGGAGAGCTGCTGGGTGGGGAGGACGAGCCAGGAATGTGGAATCAAAAAAGCCTTCATTTTAACGTAACAACTGTTTGCTTCATCCTCTCCTCCGCTTCCTAGGCAGCATTGCCAAGCGCCTGCAGTCCATCGGCGCCGAGAACACCGAAGAAAACCGTCGCTTCTACAGGCAGCTGCTCTTCACCGCTGATGACCGGGTCAACCCTTGCATTGGTGGAGTCATCCTCTTCCATGAGACCATGTACCAGAAAGCCGATGATGGCCGCCAGTTCACCCAGGTCATTAAGGACAAGGGCGGCCTTGTTGGCATCAAGGTAAGCGACGTGGGTGGCAAGGGATAAGTCTGAAATGCCTGAGCCCACCATGCTTGGTGCCCTGGGAGGTAGGCCAGTTCCAGTATTCTGGTGACGCACGACCTTGAAGGCTGCATGACCTTGCAAAAGCAACACCACCACAATGCAGGAAAAAATGCTCCGACTTGAAGGCACCACCCACTTTTTAAAAAATCTGTTTGCAGAAGGGCTTGTTAACTGATTGAGCTAGCATCTGAGCAAACCTTAAAGAAAATTCCTATTCTCTTTAAAATTAGATAACCTCTCCACATGTCACAAGAGACATCATTTTAGAAGAGGCTTTCTCTCCTGTGTGTGAGGGGCAGTTGTAAGCAATAGAAAATTATTCTTTTTTTTTTAAAAAAAAAGTCTGCCTGATGGTTTATTTATTTAGAAAATGTATAGTGGTGCTTTCCCCTTCCTTGCTCAGAGTAGTTTACAAATACGAAAGGAAAAGAGTGGTCTGGCCATGAACACTAATTACCAAACTAAGAACAGCAGCCAAAAAACGCACAAAGAACTTCATCACGGCACTTGCGATCAATGGACTAAGCAGCAATAGGGAAAAGCTTGTTTAAAAAGGAATGTTTTCAGTCACTGGAATGGAGACAGAGGGAGACTGCCTAAGCTTATGGGGCAGAGAGTTCCACATATGGGGCTGGCAGCACAGAGAAAGCCACCTTGGGCACTGCTACCTCTCTTGCCTCAAGAAGACAGACTATAAACACTGCAGTCCTACTGCATAAATGTGGATATGCTTAGATGGGAACTAATCTTAAGGGGATGAAAGCATTGGAGACCACAGGGTCATCTGGTTTTCTCTGTTGCCTCCTTCCCTCCAAATCACAGCCAGATACTTTGAATCCCAGTTACCTATTCACTAAGCAAACAAAAATCTTGGTCCATTTATGTGCTAAACAACTTACATATGGCCTACAGACTATTGAGTTGGGCTAGCAAGTCGATGAGCAGGAGCCATTATTTATGTTGTTTGTTTCTGGATGAATGACTTGATAGGACGAGATGTTTAGCTTAGTGGAAAGAAACATGCCACAAAGGAAGCCACAGGCTTAACAGACTTCTCTACCTCGCTTTCCTCCCTGCAGGTTGACAAAGGTGTTGTGCCTCTTGCTGGGACTAACGGAGAGACTACTACCCAGGGTGAGTCTAGATCTCTGTGTGTTGGTAGGGGGAGTTGTGAAGGGAAGTCAATCTAGCCTGGAGCTAGGAGAAGCAGCTGGGTTCGACGGCATCCGCCCTTAACCCCCCTTTTACCTGTGCAGGTCTGGATGGCTTGTCTGAACGCTGTGCCCAGTACAAGAAGGATGGCGCTGACTTTGCCAAGTGGCGCTGCGTCTTGAAGATCACTCCAACCACCCCTTCCCACCTGGCCATCATTGAGAACGCCAATGTGCTGGCTCGCTACGCCAGCATCTGCCAGGCGGTGAGTGCCAGCAGGCATTGAGGGAAAAGGGGGCATTCATCAACATCTACTTAAGCACTAAGCAGTTTCTAGAAAGACCCACTTGTTTTCCGTTTTTTGGATGCTGGAAGAAGGTTGAGTCATCGGGTTATGTGTAGCTCATGGATCGTTTTATGACTGACCGGACAGTTGGCATTAGGATTGTTTTATCTGCTCTGTATCGCTGTTTATATATTTTAAAAAGGGATTTGTAACCAACCCTGAGGTTGTTAGATGGCGGGTGGGATGGAAGTACACCAAAACAAACAAATGGATGGAGCAGTGGTCTGACTCTGTAGGGCAGTTCTTTGAATCTGCCTTGCAGCTTGGCAGTCAGAGCGCATCTCAAGATGGTAGTGTTGAAATGGCAGTTTCGTCCTCTTCGCCAAATACCGCTCTGGGAAATTTCCCAAGGACATGCAGTGCCCTTATTTTGCAAATGGGTGGAGGCAGTCTTCTGCAACTGCAGTACCCATGTGCTGCTACAAGAGGGCAGCAAGGAATTTGGTAGGTTAGAGACATGTGGCTTCCCCTCCTGAGTGGAATTTCCAGCTCTGATGTACTTGAACTAGGAAGGAGTTCCACATACTCAGTAGCTGCTGAAACATCTAGGTGAAGCCCTCAGTTAGAGCCTAAGATGCATCTAACTAGATTAGGCATGTGATTAAATGTCCTTCTTGCAACTTGGAATTCTTACTGTGTTTTGATTTAGCTCTGTTTTTTTTCTGTGGGATCTTAACTGTCCATCTCCCCTGTCTCTCAACTCCAGAACGGAATTGTCCCCATTGTGGAACCCGAAATCCTCCCTGACGGTGACCATGACCTCAAGCGCTGCCAGTATGTGACTGAAAAGGTGAGGTGGATGTGGAGGGAGGCGCTTGATTGACGCAAGTTGGTGTGGGCTGGCTTTTGCCCTTTTTTTTTGCCTCATGCCATGGAAGGAAAGGAGAAGGACCTCGGAAGAACTTCCCAGCACTGACCTCCTGCCCCTTCTGCCATGCCTAGGTTCTGGCTGCCGTGTACAAAGCCCTGAGCGACCACCACATCTACCTGGAGGGGACCCTGCTCAAGCCAAACATGGTGACCGCTGGTCACGCTTGCACCCAGAAATACACCAATGAGGAAATTGCCATGGCAACCGTCACCGCCCTGCGCCGCACTGTGCCCCCAGCAGTTACTGGTAAGCGAACGGGACCCGGAAGCACCTGTTCCTTCCTGCCCCACAAAAAATATGTGGCAGCCCTCAACAATTTACACTGCAGTAATATATAGAGCCCATCCCTACAGGACGGTTGCTGGTATCTGTTCAATAGTGGAGCTATCATTCTAATGGCTACAGAGTTGCCACCATAGTGTATTACAATCGTACCTCCGGTTACGTAAACTTCAGGATATGTAAGTGGCAAACCTGGAAGCATATTTCTGGGTTTTTGCTACATGCACAGAAGCGGTCCCTCCGGCTGCGGAAACCTCGGGATCCGACCGGAGCTCCGGAATGGATCCTGTCCACAAGCGGAGGTGCCACTGTATTTGTTCAAGGAAACTCCTTTAGCTTTTGCCTGGAGAGCTTCCTGTAGTTGGGACATTGTCCCACCCCACCAACTTTTTTGAAAAAGATGTGCTAGACAAACCCATTTTTTGTGTGAAGGGACAAGTGGTGATTCAGGAGGCAGAACTGGGATGTGTGTGTGTGGATATAATACCCTCTATTTCTAACGTTTTCTGCAATCAAACTCTTCTCCCCCCCCTCCCCCTTCAATTCTGCATTTTCAGATATTAAACCCTTCCTTCCTTACCAGCTGCTAACTGTATTGTCTTGCTGCAGGTGTCACTTTCCTGTCTGGTGGCCAGAGTGAGGAAGAGGCCACCATCAACCTGAATGCCATCAACAACTGCCCCCTGCACAAGCCATGGGCCCTGACCTTCTCCTATGGCCGTGCCCTGCAAGCTTCTGCCCTCAAGGCCTGGAGTGGCAAGAAAGAGAACCTCAAGAATGCTCAGGAAGAATACATCAAGCGCGCTTTGGTACGTATTGCTGGGGCCCCGGTCGCCCTGGGGAGTGGGATCTAGCAGGTCAGGGCAAGGGGCTGGGTAGCCACTGCACAGCAGCAACTGCTTTAAGGTGCTCAGGGGTTGGGTATGTGCAGCGATCATCTCCCCAAAAGCTGCCCTTTGACAGAGGCACTCAAAAGGGCTTTAGGAAGACATGTAAGAGGATCAAATGCAACCAATCTGGTTGGGTGCAAAAAGCAGAAAAACAAAAAGCAACATTGGTGGGGAACGGGAAGGGGTCTAAGGTGTGTCTCTGAAAAATAAACAAATTAACTGGTCACACATTGCATTGAGAGTCAGGGTTCCCAGGTTCTGTTTGCCCAACCTTTTGGTGGCAAAAGGTAGGGCTATGGGCGAGGTGGCAGGGGGTTGCAATTGTCAAAGTTACAGGTAAAGTGACGCTGGGAATCAGGACTCCTTGGTGTTTCCTCCTGATAGGGGACAGGAGTTTTGTGTGTCAGGAAAAGGGGCCTAATTTATGTTGTGGCTGTGATCCTAATAAGGAGGATGTGCGAAGTGTAGCTTTTCTTTTTAAAGAGGAAAGCAGTTGCAACATCTCTTCTCACTCCCCCCTCTTGTTTTACACAGGCCAACAGCCTTGCCTGCCAGGGCAAATATGTTCCATCTGGAAAAGGCGGAGCCGCTGCCAGCGAGTCCCTCTTTGTCTCCAATCATGCTTATTAAAATCAGAGGCCTGGCTGCGCTCTTTTGTTGTTAACGTTGTGCCTGTGGTGTCTCTTGTTCTGTTTCTTGCCCTGCCCTGCTTCCTCTCTGCCAGCTTCTATAGCAGGGAAAGGTGGACATCTTTGCCTTGCCTTGAAAGAACCCAGAAGCCTTGGCTTCTTCCTTCTCCTTCCTTCTCCACCTCCCCACCGCCACCTCTGTATGCCTTGTGTGTGTGTGATGTCCCGCTTTTCCTTCTGGTGACCGACGACACTCCTGGTCCGTGGCCATAACACCGAAATGTCTCCGGAGCTGGGACGACGCCTGACTCGCGGACTTCTAGAAATAAAAGAGAATCTATTTAAACATTGCCAGGGTCTCTGTTGTTCTTTCTTTCCCCCGCAGAGTTCTAGATGGAAAGTTTCATGCACACCATACCGAAAGATGTACAAGGAGCTGCATTGGGCTTATGTCCTGTTTTGCTCATTGTTGTTTACTCCAGGGATAGCCAATGAATGCAGTGCCTTCAATAGGTCGTGGACTGCCCCTCCTAGCGTAAGGACATAAGAAGCTGGTTCAGGCCAGTGGCCCATCTGATCCAACATCCTGTTCTCAGTGGCCACCCAGATACCTGTGGGAAACCAGGCAGCAGGACCCCAGAGCACAAGAGCACTCTTCCCTCCTGTGGTTTCCAGAAAGTGGTATTTAGAAGCATTTTCTGCCTCCAGCCATTGAGGCAGATTATAGTTCATTAGTAGCCATTGATAGCCCTACCCTCCCTGACCACTGACCATGCTGGCCAGGGTTGATGGAGAGTATTTGTCCAAAACATCTGGAGAGCACCATGTTGAGTGGCAGATTGTGTTCCCCCCCACCTTGCCCTTCTTTTTGAGAGTCTTGGAAGCCAGGGGCTTGAATCTCTTCTATATAGCTGGTCAGCTATGCTTCTTCCACTTAAATGACCTAGCTATCAAAGTGTGTGTCTCCATTTCCCCCAGAAAAGCGTTGAGCAAAATAGTGGTGAAGACTGTAGATCATGGGAAGTAGCATCAAGGACTTTGCTGGTTAGCTTTTCTTAGAAGCCACATCAGTTTTTATTCACTGTACTGTACAGAAAATTGTTTCTGATCATGGATAGTTTGAGGAATTAATATGGGACGTAGAGGTGGAATTATCTGAATGCTATTTAGATTACTGCTAATAATTCCTGTAATCTTTGGGAAGTGTGGATTATAGAAGATATTTTGCTTTGAGAAATACCAAGCATATTAACCTGGTAATTCCATTGCAGCAGATTGGCTAGAGGCCTATAGAATAGGAATATCACATGCAAAAGGAACTTGAAAATATGGGTATACAGTACTGCAATGCTTTTAGTTGTACTACATAGAACACAGCCCAATTTGCAATCAAAGGGAGGGGGAAATGGATAGGATAGTCTTTAAGTGAAACAGGATTGATAAGATGTCTTATCTTTTTAGTGGCTTGACCATAAGCTCAGTTGGGTGTGCTAACAACCCCCAACCCTGTATCTCTAGATTTTGAAAAGTGTTGGATATAGAACAAAGGGAGAGTCATCAGCTTGGACCATCCTCAGTAAATGCACAAATCAGGCTTTCGTGTGGTCTTGTAGTATATCACAGATCAAACTTAGCATAATGAGGGAAGCTATCATTTCCCAAGTGTGGGAAATGGCTATTTTGGTATCATGGACTACATCCTTTGACAGGGTGGTGGTGTCTTATTTCCCATTCAGCTAGGAAAATGCTCAATTGTCTCAAAGCACAAGTGCCAAGGGATGGAAGGTGCTGATAAATCTCTGGATTCAGCCAGAATAACAATTAACTTCTGCACAAGTGGATTTGATTTTCTCCAAATATATATGCTGGTCCAGTGTTTGGCAGGATTAGGACAGTACACGAGGGACACAGAAAATATAGAGCAGAAAAATAATTGTGCGCATTTCGGGGGTTGTATATATATCAAAGCTCGAGGACCAAGCAGCCCCCTTAAAGCCGTAGCTCCGCTCCTTCGGCTGAAACCCTCTGGATCCACGGAACGCAGCGCTGCCTGCCCTGTTTAGACTCTGCTAACTCACACCCCAGGGGCTTCAGACGGAGCTCTTTCCTGCAACATAACAGCATTGATGGCCGGTAGGGTTGCAAATCATTCCGCTTTGGGGGTGGGGGCACTTTAAAATCACTTTCCCACCCGCCTCCGCATGGCTCATCACACCCTTCAACTGAGCTCCTCCAAGGCGCGCCCTCAGAAAATCAGGAGACGCATCCTCGCCTCCATTTCAGGAGGCACCCTCCCTCCCTCCAGCAGCTTCCGCCCGTGATACTAGGCCACTTCCAGACCGACATCCTTCTGCCTCCAAGATACAGAGACACAGAGAGACCTTTTGGACTCCAACTCCCATCAGCCCCAGCCGGCAAGGCCGACGGCGACGAATGACGGGGGCTGTAGTCGAGCAGAACCTGAAGTCCCATAAGGTGGCCTCCAGCCACGCTTTCGTTCTCGACCCCCTTAGCTACGTGCAAACACCAGTTGTGAAGTGCGGTCTAACTAGTACAATGTTCATATTTAAAAGGGATGCGCGTCAATTAAATAGTAATTGGGGGTTTTATTGGGTTATTAGTCTTATTTTGATTTTATATATTGTGATTTTTTTTGTGAACGCCCTGAGACCTCCGGGTATAGGGCGGTATATATTCAAAAAATAAAATAAAATAAAATAAAAGGTTTCCCCCCCCCACGATTTCCGTCACTTCCGGCGGAGTGTCAGCGGCGCCTTTTAAACCCCAGCATGGCCGGCATACTTTTTCCGCCCCGCCCCGCCCTTTTTCGTCACATCCGATGAGTCAAGGTCCCGCCCCTTCAAAGGGATAGCGGAGAGAAGCCCCGCCTCACCTGCGCCCGTTCTTGGTCCTAGAAGGAAGCGGAAGTGACGTCCAGCGCCCAGTAGTTGGTGGGAGAGCCGGAAAGAGAGAGGGGGAGGGGCCGGGCCCGGGAGCCGGAGGGAGCCGCGGAGCAGCCGCCACCGTCGCCGCCGCCGCTACCGGGACCCCAGGTAGGCGCCCGGGAGGTGGGGCGTCCGCGGGGGGAGGGGGAGGCGTCCTTTCCTTTGGCTCCTGGCCGCGGGCGGGGGCGCCGGGGAAAGTTGGTTGCCATAGAGACAGCAGCCCGTGGGGTCGGGAGGGGGAAGAGGAGAGAGTTGTCACCTGGAGGGAGTCTCTGGGCGCTTTTCACAAGCGAGACGGCCAGAGCTTCCTGGGGGAGCGGGGCTGGTGGGGCCCATGAGGAGGAGGAGGGAAAAAGAGGGGCTTCTCTCCCCTCAAGCTCATGGAGGGGGCAGGCGTCGCCCTGTCTTGGGGGTGTCCAACTTCGTGGAGTGAGGTGTTTTATGTTTTTCCCCCCGAAAGGAGGGCGTTTTGGAAAGGGATGGGCGTGGGGTGGAAGGTGGCCCTTCTGAGGGTGCGAGGGAATACAGCAAGTAGCAGCTGGCTGAGTAGGTTTTATTAACTTGCTTGATTTCTTTATATGCAAATTTCCCTTTGCCCTTTTAATGGCGAGTTCAGGGGATATGGGCTCATTTAGAAGCGTGAGGGGGGCAGAGAAGCAAAGATGGGTGCCATGATGGGAAGATCTTAGAGACCTATAGGGTGGCATTGTCATGGTAACAGGAGGTAGTTGGTCATGCTCTGCTCTCTCCTTTGATGTGACTCATCATTCCTTATCTTAAAAAGTTCTGGGTATCATTGGGCAAAGAGATCAGATAGTGAGGTGAGCTTTTTGAATGAGATGGTTGGGTGGAGGCACCTTCTCATTACTGTTGGATAAGAAAGATGGAAAAGGTGGGAACTTTTTCCTAGGAGATAATCTGCTCACTCTGTTGGTGTTGAAAAGAAGTCCTGGGACGCAACATAAAGATTTCACCACCCTCTCCCCTCAGATAACAGAAGTGTGTAGAACAATGATCATTGTTTTTATAACAATGCATTTTATTTTACTGCCTTCCAAATCTATACTGTATTGCCTTTTCAGTGTATGAGGCACGGTTTGCACAAATCTTTGGAGAAGCTTGAAAGAGAATGCCTCTGATACCAACAACTTAATACAGTGGTGCCTCGCAAGACGAAATTAATTCGTTCCGCGATTTTTTTCGTCTTGCGAAGCACGGTGTCGGGAAAGTTTTGGAAAAGCTTCAAAAATCACCAAAGTCTTTAAAAACCACAAAAAAGGCTACCACACCGCATTCTATGAGTTGCTCCTCGAAGTCAAGTCGCAACTGTATTAACGGTGTTAAGAAAAAGGAAACAAACTTGCAAGACGTTTCCGTCTTGCGAAGCAAGCCCATAGGGAAAATCGTCTTGCGAAGCAGCTAAAAAAACAAAAAACCCTTTCGTCTAGCGAGTTTTCCGTCTTGCAAGGCATTCGTCTTGCGAGGTACCACTGTATTATCAGAGGGTCTGAAGGCATAGTCCCTTCCAGCACTTTTTAGTAATACACATATATAAATATAATCCAGCTTGGGTTTAATTCACTTTCTTATTTGTTTTTGTTTTGTTACAGTGTGTGAAGTTTCTCCCAGTGTTTCTTTACAGGTGCTTCAGGGTAGTATAAGGGGTTTACTATATAGATCAGCCTCCCCTAACCTGGTGTCCTCCAGATGTTTTGGTCTCCTATCAGCCCCAGCCAACTTGACCAATAGAAATTATAGTCCAGCAAAATTTGGAGAGCACCAGCTTAGGGAAAGCTGATGTAGATTATAAGTCTCTCCCTTACTGATATTCCTTGTGATTCTTCCTATAATAGTAGGAAACAATATAGAGCTGAGGGGCTGTTATTTGACTTTTACTCTCATCCTTTTTGATGGAAATATTTTCTGGGTGTATGTGCTCGATTCTTTCCCCCCATTGTCATCAAAGGTGTATGCCTTGATGTTAAATGTTAATTTTTTAAAAAAAGTTGACTGCAATTCTATTCCTACAAGGGGGCAAGATGGCCGAAATCAGTGACCTTGATCGTCAGATTGAGCAGTTGCGGCGCTGTGAGCTCATCAAGGAGAGCGAGGTCAAAGCCCTCTGTGCCAAGGCCAGGTGAGTGTTGCCTGACATCTATAAGAATACCTGTTCTAAGACTGTAAAATGCAGCCAATTACGGTGTAGAGTGTCTGTGTGAGACACATTTCCTTTTCTTTCTCTGCAGAGAGATCTTGGTGGAAGAAAGCAACGTCCAGAGAGTAGATTCCCCAGTAACAGTGAGTCTTGTTTTTTAGCGAATGTTCATCAGTGTTTGGGGACTCAAATGCTGGCAGCAATAACACCTGAACTTTTTATTTTATCCTTTTAAAAAAATTGCTG